TTGGATGGCCCACCCTTCTCATTCCCAAGATAGTCAGGTTAATTAGGATTGTTGTTGTTGTTGTTGTTGTTGTTGTTGTTGTTGTTGTCCGCCTTCAAGTTGTCTCAAACTTAGGGCAACCCTAAGTCTAAAGTTTAGGGCAGCAGGGGTGGTGGTGGTGGTAATGACCTTGGAGAGCCGCATCTGAACCACGAGCCTTCATTTAGGGACCCCTGATCTAACATAATCACATTCTCTGTGGGGGGGGGGAGGCCCTGCTCTTGGTCCCACCCCCATCACAAGTGCAATTGGTGGGAACGAGAGGCAGGGCCTTCTCAGTGGTGGCCCCTTGGCTGTGGAACTCCCTCCCTATTGATATCAGGGTGGCCCCCCTCCCTCCTGATTTACAGGAAAAGAGTGAAGATCTGGCTATGGGAGCAGGTGTTTGGATAGTGCAATACAGAACTGGTATAACTGTACACAAATGACGACTCTGGTTTTAACAGTTTTATGGTACTAAGTTTTACCTGTATTTATGTGTATGATGTGTATTTTATTATAGTTGATTGTATAAGCGGCATTGAATATTGTCATGTTGTAAGCCGCTCCAAGTCCCCCTGGGGATGAGAGAGAGCAGGATATAAAAATAGTAAATAGATAGATAGATAGATAGATAGATAGATAGATAGATAGATAGATAGATATGTTCAACCATCTTTGCTGTTTAGACTGAGGTGACACTTCCCTAAAAATGAATCTCAAGTCAATGAGATCAGACCTTGTGTACAATCACTCCCTGTGCCTGATACTCCAGTTGCCTCACGTTTTATCTCCCTCCTTCTCTCATTTCCCCACTTTTGGTCATGTTCCTTCTTGTGGTTCTTGGTGTTAGTTTTCCTGAGAAAAACTTACACCACTTCTTAGACTGCAACAGCTATAAAATCAGGGGATCTCACTTACCTGAGTGATGCAGAATACAGACACGGGACATCCTCAGCACTGCTCAGGCCACCAAGTAAGTGAGGGAGGGGAAGGATCTTGCTGCAGGGACATTTGGAGAATTGTCGAAAGCTTTCAGGGCTGAAATCACTGGGTTGTTGTGAGTTTTCCAGGCTGCATGGTCATGT